TCCCTTTACTCCTGTGTGACTTCACGATCTTCAGATATTTCCCTACCTTGTAAGGAATTTATGTTATTTACCAACAGCTGTTTATGCCAGTTTGGTGGATTTTCATGCAGGAAGAGGTGACCAGATGGGAAAGTCATATGTTCTATTTGTTACTTTCATGTTTCTCCACTTGGAGTTGATCTCAAGGGTAAAAAAAAGTGGATTTCTTAGTTTTGCTGAAGTGCATGTGGGCAGATTGTTGCTGAAATCTGCAGATTAGGACTTTACACTTTTGAAATGTTCTCATAAAACCCCAATTTAACCTTTGCGTTTGTTGAACGCCTGCATACAGTACTGGAAGAGGCCTTAGATGTCATGTTCATGCGGGATTATTCTGAAACAAAAGGCTTCACAATTCCCTAACGAGCTAATGGAATATTCATAGTATAAATGTGACTTTTATAAAATAGACTGAAAAACAGGAGTTGACTGACACAGCATGACTCGTCTGTTACACTCACATTGGAAATGCTTTAAGATTCAGTAGAACCAGATGTGTTTGGTATTCCATGCATTCTTTTCCCCTGTCAAAAAACAAAAAACAAAACAAAAACAACACACACTGTGTCTGCAGTCCCCACAATGCAAATCATGTTTACTGCTAGCATTGGCTACTATTTCCTCAGGCTAATAGCCTCAAGCGGGAATAAAGTGAGGGTGATAAAGGCCTGTAAGCTCACTTCTTTTAACTGATTCTCATTTTGAAACTTGTAGCTAACTCTAGGCAAGTCACACAGGGAAAAATCATCAGATGTTTTGCTACTAAGTGCAACAAAACACTTTACAAAACTTTCTTTCCCCCTCTATACTGACTGCTCTTACTTTTAAAATACTGCAATTTCCTTTACCATTAAAACAAGAGTACCATGAAGAAGGCTCAAGGCTTTCAGGCTGATAAAGACCACAGCATGTATGAATCGAGTCCAGTAAATCAAAAGCATGTATGGAAATTAATTCAATGTGAAGATAAAACAGTTTGTTTTCTCAAGGAATGCAAAAGATTCTTTCCAAAAATTCCTCTGGTAACACTTTCCTGCGTATACAATCACAACTTTTTGGGGAATCCAAAGAGACAAATCAAACAACCACATAACATCATCTTATAAGAATAGACTAGACACATCACCAATAAATGAAAAATAGGTTTATTCAAAAAAGAAAAACCCTCTATATATCAAAAAACACATCATCAATTACACCTTCACAATCTCAAGTGTACAAAGGCGATCTTGAAAATAAGGGATATTGCACTTTTCATGATTGTTCAGCACATCCTCGAAGGCAGAAGTTTGCAGTCCTCATGTGTGAAAACAGAACATGTACAGACACCCTGATTGTTTTCAGTGTTGTTGCAAACCACACACCATACTTCAACACCTAAATGATCTTGCTGGTAAAACATTCAACTCCAGCATTTGAAAACATGAGCTAATTTGAAAACACAGTGCTTGCATGCAGTCTAACAAAAGCATGCTTACATGGCTAACTCCATTATATAACCTGGAATTGTTTACAGGTCTAGGCACATATCACGTCTGCAATAATTTACTGAAATTATCTCATTATAGCAACAACAACAAAACACAAACATTTTAGCCTCTTTTGGAAAGTCATTTTGAGGAATGGATAGAAGGTGATTTTTTTCAAATATACTGTATTTAATAATTAATTCAAACAAATAAATTCCTGACATAAACAAATAAACATCAGTAGCAATGCAAATAAGAAATTAAATCTGATCCACACATTTTCTGCCTAACATTAATTTCCTAGACTGTCAGGTCTCAGTCATGGAAATAAAACTAATTTAGTGTCTGACTGATTAACTGAAAAAAGAACCACCCTACGTCCTTCCAAGTGTCCACACGACACATAAAGTGCTATTGTCAGAGACGCAGCTCTGTTTCACTTGTTTGGCCCCCAGGAAACAACTCCTGTGACACGGCGGCAAAGAGCAGGAGGCTGATAGATCTCACTTAGCATACTAAGATTTGATGTGCTGTTAGGAAGTGCTGTCTCTGTCTTTGGTGAGGAAATAAACGGACACGGTTGCACGAACTACCCATCAGTGGATTTCTTTACTCATCATTTTCACACTTGGCAGGATTTGTGTGTGTGTGCAAATCATTTATTCAGCTTGATATTTTGTAGGATCACAGCTCACGTCCAAAGTTCAGCTCCAGCGTGTTTTATCTGTTTTGGTTTTCTGATGCTTCTATCATGGCTCTAAATCTGGAGTTTTCATCTGCCAGCAAGGCTACGGGACTGTCAAACTCCAAAATCTACGAGAATGAAAAGGATAAAACAAAATCAGCACTTGCATATAAAGTCTGGGCACATTATCTCCAAACTTACTCCAACCGAAGATATTTCCCAGCGGCAGTGTATGAAAAGCATTTCAATATGTGGGAAATATTGTCCTCAGACAGCCTTTGCTGCACTTTGCTGAATCATAAGTTCCTATAAGGAGTAGCGATCACTCCCGGCACACAGTGACTGTTTGAGCCATGTTGACATTATCAACGAGGCTCGAACAACAAAACATGTTGGGATCTTTTATAATACGGGCAAAGCTAAAGATTGCAAAATGGAAATGTAAATGTCTTTTTAATGCAAAATGCATGAAGTAATGAACCATTCAGGTACATCTAATAGTAATAAAACACGCTTATGAATATCTGTGATTTTTTTCATTCCACTGCAGCCCAAAAAGCTGGGTGTAAATTCAAGCTATGAATCGTGTCTCTTCTGATGCATCCATCTTATTTTACTCTACTTACTGATGCCAAAAATGCAAACTCAACTGATTAAGGGATAAGGGCTGAAACACATAAACTTGTGTGCTTCTCATGTCATCAGCTACCATCAAAAGTCTTGAAAACTGCTCAAGTGAAATATGAACTGTCTCATCCCATCCGTCATATCAAACACACAGTAATTTAGGAAACTCATCAACGACTGAGTTTCACAGTCAG